GGGAAAAAGAGCTTAAAAAATAGGAAAATTCAGGGATTGTTCAGGAAAAATAGATTATCAAAGCTTTCATGAACACTGATAAATCTTGAAATTTATTTTATCAAATACATTTTGTACTTTCAACTTATAAACAGTGCTTAAAAAGTAATAATTTGTATATACATAAATACAAAAACAATTACATACTGAGTTTAGGTTCTACATTTATTTGCTAAAAATTTATTTAATATTAAGGTTATTGTTTAACGTAAATTATATTTTCCGTGAAAATTCACGGAAATTAAGAAGCAATTTTGGCTATTTTCCGTGAATATGACGTATTTCTGAGTCAACCAATTATCAACGTTTAAAAAATTAATAGAATATAGGAGGCAAGTTTTGTAGTGTATGAATATTTATAATATAATGACAACCGATTTAATTTTAATATTGATTGACATATATTGTCAATCAAAATAAAAATCAATTGAAATCTATTGTTTTTGATTGTTTTTTTGATGTTGAAACAAAGCAAGTATTTGTGCAAATGTTTGCTTTGTTTTTAAAAGCTTTAAGTAATTTTCGCTAAATAAAAACTTTGTTTGCTTAAAGATTAAGTCAACAAAGTTGTTTTTATTATTAAAAGTTCTTTGTGTTTAATAGATAGCATAAAAATCTCATCCAATCTATTAAACACAAAGAACTTCGTTTGCTTATGCTTTACATATATATATATATATATATATATATATATATATATATATATATATATATATATATATATATATATATATATATATATATATATATATATATATATATATATACACACATTATAGTCTGTCAGGTCAGTTATAATGATCACTCTGGTACTAGTAACATCTAGTTACCAGTAGCAGGGTGAGATATTAGACATCCTGCTGCCTTGTAGATATTAAAAATCCTGCTGCCTTGTAGAGTTTCCTTTTATAAGTAAAGGTTGGGGAAGTTAACTCTGATACAAAAAACTTTCTGTAACTTCTCTAGAGCCTTTGGGCTCTAGAGAAGTTAGAGATGATATTTTAAAACAAATATTTTCTCATATTAAATATGTTTTAATTACATCTGAATACTGTCTTTTAGAAGTAATTCTTTTGCAGAAACTTTACTAAGATTCTTCTTTATTTATTTGGCTGCCATAGATGTAAACTTGTGTTTCATTGTTTCCTGCTTATGATAATGAACACTGGATGAATAGTAACAGTGCCATGTCGAGCATAGATGATGTCTCTGTTGGCGTTTTTTTGTGTGAAGTTTGGTGAAAGGTTACATTAAAGATCAGGCAGGCTTGAATGTCACCTCTCTTCTGTGACAGCTTTTGGCTCAATGTGACTGGTAATTTTTATTCCTCACAGTTGTTACTGCTAATAACTATCACAATGTTGTAGATATCTTTTTGTTGATGAATGGAAACACTTTTACTGAAATTTTCTAATTTTCATCTTCCTGATTTAATGAGTAGTGAATCTTATTAACAATTTATTGCAAAGTATCTGCTATGGTTGACTCTTAATTGTGCTCATCATTTTAGTTGTGTTTAATAGATAGGATAAAATTTTTATGATATCTGTTAAACACAAAGAACTTAAATTATTACTTTGTTTAATTTATATTTAAGCAAACAAGGTTTTTATTTAGCGAAAATTTTAACTCCTAATTTTGAAATTTTAGGATACCAAATTTAAAACTCTAATTGTGTTTACCATTTTTTACACCTTATTCTATTCTCTACCTTTACTTCTAGACAAGGTTCAAAAATGTTTGTAAATATAGTTGGATCTTCTCCAGCTTCCTAGGTTTAGCTCTTGTCCCACCATCATATGATGGGATCTATTTTTCTTTTTTATAGATACTTATATGGTTCAGCTTCACCAAATTATCTTTTTTTATTCTACTAACTGTAACTCAATCTGACAATAGTTGTCATTCAACAAATTTGTATCAACCTACTGTATCTGTTCCTTCACGCTCTAAAAATCTTATTTCATCTATTATTATTTCTTGTACATTAAAGGAATTCTCTCCTGTTCTCATGTTTTCCTAAAAAATATGATTTGCAATTTTTTAATTTTGTCAACTTTTTTTGTAACTTTTCTTGACAATTGCTCTTTTACTTTATCTTTTCTTGCTTAGAATTTACTTTTTTAGTTTGTTTTTATCACTACCAACAATGCAAGCAACACTATTTAATTTAGGAATTTTTGACCTTTTTTTTATATAAAGAAACAATATCTTTTGCAATGTCTTTGACACTATTCAATTCCTAAATTAAATAGTGTAAAGATATTGTATAAGGTTTTATATATATATATTGCAAATGGTTTCATTCAAGAACAATCTAGAAAAAAGTTTTTTTTTCTCTTATTGTCATTGTTATTGTTAAAAAAATTGAAAGAAACGATTACAAATAAAAATTGCATTTCCTTTGGAAGGTGAAAACCATGGGATAAAGTGATACAAGGTTAGAAACTTCTACAAAACAGTTGCTTAATGCAGTTTATGCCTCCCCAAGATAAATACTTTTATAGATATACTATCTCTAACTTTTACTCAACAAGAGGTACAAGGTATTAAATCTGTTTTCAATCTGAGTAACATTTCTTACGTTTACTTTTTACATTCTTCTGAGTAACATTTCTAACATTCATTTCTTACTTTCATTATGAAAGCAAATAACACAAGGCAGCTTGATATGGATCAGATCTTGCCTCTATGAGTCCTTTAACTTCAAAACATGAACTTTGATGTTTGCAGTGGAGAGATGAGTTGAGCTCTATACCACCAGGAGTCTGTAATCATTCAGTAATCACTTAGATTCATTTAAAAACAATTAACTACAGAAATATGATTTTTGTATATATTATTTGTGTATAAGTGTCTTTTTATCCACTTTTTTTTTAATTATTATTGGTGTTTTTAAATTTAATCACAGTTTACAAACAGCTTAATTTTATTGGTTTTTAAAATTAATACACAGTTTACAAATCACAGTTTAATTTTTTTGCTATTTTAAATTTAATCACAGTTTACAAATAATTTTAAAACGTGTCTCACTGATGATGTTTTTTAAACATATATATTCAAAATTTATATAGAGAAAAAAATATAATTTTGTATGAAGTTGGTTGTTTATATATCAAACTGGACAACTACAATTGAACACAATTAAAGATTTTGTTATGTGTTTATCAAGAGTTTTTTCGAAAATTTTTTAAGATTTTTAAAGTATTTAAAAATATTTTCAACAATGCAAGATATTCTAAATGAAAAATTTTGCGATTTTAATGCTGCAGAAAAGGCTGTGATGCATTACTGCAATACCCATTTTCATCCAATTAGAGTTGATTACAAGGAAAAATTAGAAAGTTACAATAAGAAAGAGAAGCAAGAATCACAAATTAAAAATCAACCTTTAGATTCAATATATGCATGCAGGTTTAAATTTACATTTATGTTTGTAAAATTTTTATTTACTAAACTTTGTGGTGTATTATATCTATTTTATTACTTTATATGGATTTCCTTTTAAAAAATACTTAAAAATAATCATAAAAAAAAGTTTTTATTTACAATTACAATTACTACCTTAAAAATAGTGTTATTCGTGTACTTTTCATGTTTACAGATGGACATGCAAACATTTTGGCCACCAAAAACCTTATCTTATGAAGAAAAATCAAGTTAAGCGCAATAATCAGGCAATACTTCCATGTGGCTGCAAAATGTTTATTTATGTTTCATATGACAACCAACGACAATGCTATGGTGTTTAAAAATTGTTTCTTGAACACAACCATCCATATGGTATAGAAGAATTTTCTATGTATAGTTCACAGCGTCAACCAAAAGGATTATTAGAACAGCAGACATTGATGTTGATTGAACATGGGGCAAATTTGTGACAGATAGCCTTAATAGAAGCGGTTTTAAAACTAAACCTAGAGATATTTACAACATAAAACAAAAGCTTAAATTCAAAGGTTAGTTGTTTTTGTATATGCAGTGTTGAGAAAGATATTAGAATCGCATATTTTTTGTCTATTTTAGCAATTGTCATGATATATATTTTTTTATTCAACAGAGTAAATATGCCTTGAGTTCCTTTTTAGTTTCATAAAACTATTTTAAAAATGCTGGTGGAAAATAGTTTGATTATTCTTTGAGTTAGATAATTTTTTCATGTAAAGTTGATGAGTAACATATTGTTTTTACAAATATACATATAATATAAAAACTTTTACTTCGGTCATTATTGTTTTTTTATGAAGAAAAAAAACATTGGCACTCCTGATTTTGAAATAATAAGTAATGTAGCATGTCAAACCCTTTTTTGTTTTATTTTATTATTTTTTATATTTGATATAAATTTTTCTGTACTTTTGCAGGGAAAAGGTAGAGATCCGAGTCCATGAAAAAAAGAGAAAGTGGAGGCTTTGTTAAAATTGGGGATTGTGACACAGAGGGAAATCAGTGAATAATTAGGCTTAATTCAAAAGCCACTCTAAACTGTAAAGCAGAGGCTAGAATTAAGAGGCCTGGCTAATTTCAAAACATTCTACATATGAGAGAGAATTTTCACACATGCCAAAAGAACAACATTTCAACAAAGTTTCTGTGAGCTGTTTTGTTGTCACCTCATCCAGGCTGGCTACATTATTTTTTAATGAAGTAAAATACTTCTAAATATAATTGTTGCTTATAGAGTTATTAAATTTAAAATGAATAAACAATCAGTACATTGTTTTATTATCCTTGGGCAATTGATTATGATGCAAATGACCATTTTACTATCTGTCTTTTCTCTTTTGGGCTATATCCATGACTTTCGTCTTCTCTTTTGTTTATATTTGTGTTTTAGATTGTCTTTAGTGATTAATCAACATTTTAAGTCCTTGATAACTAGTGGCAGAATGTTCGACGTTGCTCTGATTAGAAACACTTCCAAATTCCTGGAAAAAACTGTGAAGCATCCAACATCAGTAATGGCGTGGTCTTTAATCTCAGTTCATGGTGTTAAAAGGCTGTATGTAGTGGAGGGTACAATAAAACAGCAACGTGTACTTTATGTTAAATTTACTTGTGTTCTGAATTCTAATCTGCGCGTTATTTTTTTATTTTCAGGTGTTACTGTTATTAAATTAATATTGAACTAATGTTAAACTGAAATTGAATTATTGAACTTTTCAAGTAATAAACTGTCAACTAAACTATAAAATAGCAGTTCCAGTTCTGGCAAATCCAGTTTGAGATTCACTTCTAAGCACTAGGTTATTGGAAAGCCAATTTTGAAGTTATCTGCAGAAAGATTACCATGTATGCTGGATGTACTTTAACTGCTCCAGTTTCATTATTTAAGTAAAAAAGAGAACTCTTTCTGAAAGTCTTGTGATGCATTAATCTGTACTTGGATGAAATCCAGGATACCAAATAGCTAGTTGATGTGTCAGAAAACTGTCAACAGAACTATCTGGCTTTAAAGGTACACAGAACACGGCAATGCAAAAGTGACAGGATGAAAGAAGACAAGTTTAAAAGTGAAGTAAAATCTTGAAGAAATGTTTGGTATTGCGACATCGGATGTGATGACAGAAATATAGAACAAATAAGATTGGTATTTTTAACTTTTTTCTTGCCTCATGAGTGGAGCAGATGTAAACACAGCAGCAAAAAAAAAAAAGCAAGAAAAAACGATGAGAGGAACAAGAGAGAAAGAGAAAAAAAAGAGAAAAAAAAAAGTGATATAAAGAACGCTCGACCAAATGGCATAAACGAAACAGAAGGTGAACTTTCTTTGTTGACATCTAATTCAGAATCACAAGAAGATGAGGAGTATCAGCCAACTCAGCCATGTATGCCAACAGTGTCAACATTAACAATAAACAGATTCAACAGCTTCTGCTTCATCACTAAAAAAAAAGTTTAAGAAAGCTAATCGACCTCTGTCTTTGTTTACATTTACATTCACATTCAACTAGGAACATCAATAATGGAAAACTAAATGTACCTCTATTTAAGACTTTTAGGTATGTAGTATTCAATGACACATCAGTGCATCAGCGAATGGAATCGAAGTCTTGTGTGATGAGTTTGAAAATGAGTTTGAAAATTTAATATTTCCAAATAAATGAATTTTAATTTCTTTATTTAAAACAAAATAAATTTAAACATACTCTAGAAAAATTTTATTTTAATTTTTTATCAATATTAATTTATTTTTCTTACTCTTTCAAAAGAAACTTTATTGATTTTGTAATTAATATTTATTACTTTTAAGACTGATGTTTTTATTATTACTATTATTATTAGAACTATTATAAATACTATTATTTTTGCTGTTACTTTTGCACTACTTATGAATAAAGTTATTATTGTCATTATTTTTTTCAAATTAATATTATTAATATAATTATTTGGTCACTCTTTTGATCAGGATTCTGCATGAGTTACTCCTCCTTCAATCTGTTATTTATATTTATTCTTAATAATTGTATTTTGATTCGATTATTTATAATATTATAGATATTTTTGATATTTTTATTATTATTGTTATTGTTCTTGTTATTATTGCTATTATTATTATTATTATCATTATGACTATTATTATTACTATTGTTATTATTAATATATTACTGTAATTATATGATTGTAAATTTTGAGGAAAATAAATATCTTTTTGTCGTTATTGTTGTTCTGATCCTAGACAGTGCTCATTTTTTCCACATTGTTTTAGATCCTAGTCAGTGCTCATTTTTTCATAGTTTTAGAGAGATCAAACCATGATCAAAAGCACCCTTTTCACCCTATCAACCCAAGGTGCTTTTGATCATGGTTTGATCTCTCTATAACTATTCTCTTTGTATATCTCATTCTTCATCATCAGAATCCCTCTACCATTGTACCTCTGACAACTTCCACATAGCTGGCTAGGACTCTTTTTGTGATTTTCTTTGTGATGGCCCTTGGATGGAAATCTTTAGCCTTCCTGCTAACAAATGTGCTTCTTACATAACTTTGTGGATTCAGGCTGGCATGGAATCTTTTATTTCCTCTCGGTGATTCTAGGTCAAGCCTCACTCTTCTCCATGGTTTTTCTAACATTGTGCTGCTGCAATTTCTAATCAAAACCATTACTTCAATATCTTTTAGCAAAACAATTCTCCAGAAAGCAAACGTCTTTTTTCTTTTGCTAAAAACCATTGTAAAAAGGTTTTGTCTTATGCCAAAGCTTGCTATTCTCAGGTCATATGTATATATGTATATATGTATATATATATATATATATATATATATATATATATATATATATATATATATATATATATATATATATATATATATATATATATATATATATATATATATATATATATATTTATATATGTATATTTAATTAGGTTCTGCACTTAGAAATAAAGAGAGTACTTGAATTTCCAGGGAATCTTTATCACATTTATGCTAGTTCAGATGGACAAGTTGAATGCATAACTTGGACAACAACTGAGCAAATAATGCTCCTGCAAAAATTTCTAGATGTAATAATGATGGATGGCACTTATAAGCTAACTTATTTTCTTTTTCTTAATTGATTTTTTTTCTCTTTTATTTTGCAAAAATAATGCATTGCTTTTTTATTAGGAACTGAATTTTTTTTTTATATATAATACTTATAATGTATAGGTAAATAATCTCTCAATGCCTCTATCTCTCAATGCCTCTCTTGCTGTAGTAGATCAACACGGAATGGGGCGACCTGTAGTACAGTCAATAGTGTATCGTGAAGATCAAGCTCATCTCAGAATGTTTCTGATACGATCACAAGAATGGGCTGGTTTTAATACATTTTTAACTTCCATTTTTGTTATTGATATGGCTCAAGCTGAAATCTCAGTGTTGCAGGTTATTTTCATAGATAACCGTATTTTGCTATGTCGATTTCATGTATCCAAGGCATTTGTACATAAAATAAAAAAAAGTAATTTAATAAGTAATGACAAAGAATCTTTATATAAGGTTAGTTCTAAATAATTCTAGCTAGTTGTATTAAAAAAGTAGTCATCAAAAAATTAATAAAAATTAAAATAATGCTTTGAAAGTTGTCAACTTTTTTAACAATAGATGTTCCATGACAATAGTCGTGGAACATCTATGATTATTATGTGCCTTCTATTAATATAATGTAGTAATGGTATTTGTAATATCATACATTTATTTTATTATTAATTGTTTTTTATCATTATTATTTACTTATCTTAACTGTCAGGCTACAAAAAGGTTATTATATGGTAACCAGCAAACATGTAATGAAGCTTTGTTAAATATACAAGAGACCTTTCCAGAGTTTTACTTAACACTTAACTTAACAAATAACTGGTTGATGATGGCTGACATGTTCATGGGCTACCGCAGAAAAGGTCTACTCCACATTGATAATCACACCAATAACAGATTGGAACGGTTTGATGATTTGTTTTCTATTTTGTTATAAGATTAATTGTTACTTAATAGTACTTTAATAAAATTATAGGTATCACAGAACTTTAAAAGATGTTGGATTGACATCGCGTATGTCACCAGGTAATCTTATTAGCAAAATAATAAAGGTAAATAGAGTTCAACTTGAAAAATCAAAACATGCTGATTTTGATCAACGTCTTAAAATAAACACTAAACTTCCTGAATGTTTAAAATTTTATGCTCATACAATCTCATCATTCATTTTACAACATATGGTTGAACAGTATAATTTAAGTCAAAAGGAAGGATATAGTTTACAAGAGGTAAGTGTTTTAATCTGTTTTTAAGATTGCTCTGATTTATTTAGCAATTTGAGTCATAATAGATGCAACTTGTAATAAAAGTATGATTTTTTTAAATTTATATTAATGAAGATAATTATAAGTAAGATTTATTTTATTTTAACGTGTTATAAAATATGAAATTAAAATATCTTTAGGAAAATAATTGCTTGCAAGTTAGATACAATGATTGTTTGTTTCCCCTTCATAACTGGACTTGCCAATGTGATAATGCTACTGGTTATGGAGTTCCATGCTCTCATGCCTTCTTTACTATTATAGACAAAAATATGAACTTACCTGATCTAGATTCTTATTCTAAAAGGCACTAATTGTTTTTGATTTGTATTATTATAGTAGTAGTATGTTGAAAAATATTAAAAAATGAATAAAATATTTTTAGGAGGTTTGTTCCTACCCATCAAATGGTAAATGTAAACCAAGGGGACAATTTATCTAATTCATGCATGACATTTTCAATTCAACCAGTGGCATTATGCAATTCTACTGTTAAGGAAATATATAATAAAGCTTTGAGCCATTTGCAGCCCTTGGCATCTATCTTGTCTGAATTTACACCAAGTAAGTTTGATTTAGCTATTAAATGGCTGGAATCAGTTTGCCAACAATGCATATTTGGAGAGTGGGAACTGCAGGTAAAAATAATAAAATCCATAATTAAATTAATAATTCATTTTTATTTATATATTCATATAATTATCATTTATATATATATATATATATATATATATATATATATATATATATATATATATATATATATATATATATATATATAAAATTAATAATTCATCAAATAATAATTCATTTTATTTGACAAGTTAAACTAAAGTTATACTTGCACAAGGCTTGAGCCAATATAGTCAAGGAAGCATTTTTTCATTTAATTTTTATTGTATCTCTCTCAACTCTGAAATACAATCTCCAATGCCGTTAAATGAAGATGCAAGTTAAACAACATATTTCTAGGTGGCGTTGAACTGTAAACCACTTAATAATAAAGCAAGAATCTATTATACTACGTCATTAAATCTCCTGATAAATCATTTACATTTATTTTCTTTATGTGCAATCTATCATGAGTTGTAATCATAATGCTATTTAAATTTTGTACAGGTTCAACAGCACCATTCTGAAGATGAAGTCATTTCAGAAAATAATTTTGAGACTAATGTTGAAATATTTCCTGAATGTTCTTCTGCAACATTAGAATGTGTTTTGCCTGTATCACCTCAAGTTTCTCTACAAACAAACTCTGTAGCTACATCAAACATTTTCCCAACAATCACATGTGAGACTCTTCATGTTAAAAGATTGCAGACAAATGTTGAAATATTTCCTGAAAGTTCTTTATCTGCAACATTGGAATGTGTTTTGCCTGTCTCACCTCAAATTTCTATAGAAACAAACTCTGAAACTATATCAAAAAATTTTCCAACAATCACTTGTGAGACTCTTTCTGTTGAAAAACGGTATACTACTCGAATTTTAGAAGACATTGACATTATATTACGTAAGCCACAACGCTTTCGCCCAGGTCGACCAGCTGTAAAAAAACAGAGACTTTTTTAAAACGTAACAAAACCCCTTAAGAAACTTGGCGTTTATGAAAAAGATTTTATTCGTTTAACTTGGTTCGTCAAAGATTCCATTGCACAGAATTCATTACAAAGTGGTAGTAAAATCTCAATTAATGATCTTTTTTAAACTGCACCTTATATCATTAATGATAAAAGAGCTAACTTACATGATACAATATTTTGTATTGTATTTTGTACATGATACAATATTTTGTAACAATATTTTGATGAGTCTGCTTGGGCAGAGATTGTAGTAAGATGTAAGAGCATTTCATCCGATAGTTGGCCATGTTATCATTGTCAACAAATTCAATCAGCCAGTAAACTTCAAAAGTGGATTCAGTGCGATCACTGTTTATATTGGTATCATTACTATTGTGTTGGTATTTCAAGAAAAAAAATTTCACTGGTTTTGTATGGATTGCAAAACCTAATTGAAAAGATTATAATACTATATATTCATATATGTATATATATACATGTGTGTTTATATATGTAATAATAGTTTAACATAAAGGCGTGTATATAACATAACTATAAGTAGATACTAATTACAATTTGTTTTTTATTTAATACTTATTAAAATTTTACATTAACATTTTTTAGACTTTTTAGCGTTAATTGATGTATCCTGTTAATATCGGCACACCAAAAGAACAACGGTTAAACAGAATTTATGTGTTTTTTTTTATACAATTCATTTATGCTAGGCAATAACTTTATTAACATTTTATGTACCTGTTTGTCATTAGTTACTCTCTGCAGTACTGGAATTATCATTAGTTACTCTCTGCAGTGCTGGAAGGTATGATAACATAACTGCAAGGTAAACAGCTTTAAATCTTTCATTCATTATATGAAAGACTGTATAAAGCTGTCTTGACTATTAGCTAAGCTCTGTGACATAAGCGCAACTTAGAGGTTCCTTCTAGAAATGTTTTATTTCTATTTTATTATTGGAATGGTTATAATGTATTTAGTATACATTATAAACGCTTATTATTTTAATTATTTCAATATGAGATTGTCAATCATTGTTGTTAGGATATTGAAACTGCTCCAAAATTAATAAAAAATAAACTTAATATTACCTCATCGTTCGACTTTAAGTTAGAGCTTTTCCAAGCAAGCCTTTATAAGTACCTATTAGCAAAACTCTTCCTTTTATTAAGGAAGTTTTTTTTCTTCTCCATATTAAAAAGCCAGGGATTGTCGACCGTGCTTAATATAGAGATACTTAAATACACATTTATGTTCATTTGCTCTACCTAAGTAGTTAAACTTTCTCCCAATTTCATGGGGATCCTTCTCTGCATACACATTTTTGCACCACAAATGTGCATTTAAAGAATTTAGTACATTTAAACCTAACAATATTACTACCACGTTCTTTACAATATATTTATTTCTCCGTGAACACACTTGCAATATTTGCTTACCTCTTAAATTGTCGCGATTACTATATACCATCTACCCTTAAAAATAACTAAAAAATGTCCTGAATAAATTAAAAAGCGTGAATGAAACTGCTCCAAAATTAATAAAAATAAACTTAATATTACCTCATCAATTGCGATTTACATTGAAACAAGAGATATTTATATTTAATCTATATTCGACATTTGGCATTTTTTTTGTTAACACAGCCCAAATGCTTTTAAAAAATTCGTAAGTTTTCAAAAAATACAGCCAAAATCATATGAAATTTGTTGCAAACTGCCAATACTTATTGTATTAAGTTTTGTTACTTTCCGCATAAAATATCAAAAATTCGTCATGTATATGATACGCCAAAATCACTTCTTAACTTCTGTGAATTTTCACGGAAAATAGCGAAAACACCTCCATATTAAGTTCCGTGAATTTTCACGGAAAATAGCCAAAATCGCCTCCTAATTTCCGTGAATTTTCACGGAAGATAGCCAAAATTGTTTCTTATTTTCCGTGAATTTTCACGGAAAATAACATTAAGCATTGTTTAAATCAAGCACATCTATAAAGTTCTAAATGTTTTTGTTTAATTATAATTTTTGTGATTTTTTAGTACTTCTTTATGCCAACTAAAAATTTATTATTCAATCAGTTTTGGCTTGTAAAGTATATTTTGAAGTATACAAATATGAGAGCTTTCTATAACAATTTTGTATTTTGTAATTTTGTATTTGGTATATTGGCTTTGTTAAGAAAAGAAATTATTAGCATAATTGTATTAAATTTTGTGTCAAAAGCATGAAAAACAAAACATAATTTTAATGAACTCTCAAATGGTAAACTCTCATATCTCTTTTTTTTTAACTAAGCAAGTTAGGAAGTTTTTGCATCAATTAGTTTGATGCAAAAAAACAACCCCTACTCTTTTATTTAAAATATTGTTAATTTTTGTTTTCTTAAAGAATTGATGTTTATCATTAGCAATTAATATTCTGTTTTGGTTTTTGTCTATATTTAGCAAAGCTTTTTAATTTTTGTTTTACTTTTTTTTTTTTACAATGCCATAACGCATGATCAGTTTAACTTCTAAATGACCCCTCATTTTTAATCTAAATGACCCCTAATTTTTATAGTCTTCATAAGCTTTATACAACTTTTATTAATTAATTAAATATGTGAATTAAAAAAATTCCTCTAGAATGGCTATCAAAAGAGGATGGAATGAATAGTGTCACTTTTCTTAGTCTCTAGTTTTTACTTGACTGGATAGCTCAGTTAATTTGTAGTTATACCTCTGTTCAGGTGTATAACTTGAGAGCTTAAGAAGACTATAAAAATTAGAAACCATTTAGATCCAAAGTTATTTAGTTTTTGAAGTTGAAAATATTATTATTATAAAAATTAGTTGTGTTTAGGTGTATAACTACACAGTCAAAAGTTAAAAAAATAACTCCAATGCAATAGTGCCTTCTTTAAAATCAGTCCAGTCAGTTATCTAGAAGGGCCATAGGACAATATAAGCTCTATATTTTGGTGTTATACTAAAATAAAATAAGTTGGTTGAGTTGTTAGTCCAAAATATTGTATGTGCTGTCAGACAAATGACGCATGCGCATTTGTTTGAATTATTAAATATATGTGTACTTTGGTATAATAGTGGTATCATATTTTGTAACATTTTTCTTACATTACATACTATTTGGTATAACAATGGTATAATATGGTATAATATTTTAGCAAAGAACACCGTCATCTCTTGATCAAAAAATTCCTGACGCCTGTCAAGATTAAAGCATGAACAATAAAAAAAATTTTATTAAGACCCTTTTTGACAGTACTGAACATATTTGGTGCAGATTTTGGCACCATCCAAATTATTTTTCTAGAATAGCCCCTAGATTATAATTGTCAGGAAGATGAAGATGATCTTTACAAATAAAGAATTTCATGCAAATGAAATTTTGCAAGAAGACAAAAGTGAAATCATTCCAAGATAAGAGGCCATATTATGGCAAAAAAATATTAGAATGAATAAAAAGGTAGTTTCATTTATGATATAGATTTCAAAGGTGAAAAGGTCTGCAATGTCTATATAACAACATCTGTTTTTTTAATTTTCATTAAAAGTTCTTTAAAATGATATTTTGCTTCATAACTAAGATTCAGCTCCAAGTAAAAGACAGGATTGTAAGTGACAATAATGAATGTAAGCAATAGTATAGTAAGTGACAAAAATGAATGTAAGCAATAGTATAGTATATAAAGCTTGTCTTATAAATATAAGGTCCAGGTTCAATCCT